TTGTTTGGACCAACATGGATATTTTTGTGCCCTCCTCAAAGTCAGCTGCATGCTGGCACACATAAACACACCCACCCCACATCCCCGCTTGGTATTGCAGAGAAGAGTATAAATAAGATTTCTTTTTAGTATACAAAAGTAAGTGCAACAATCCAAGCATTACCTCTTGCTGTCTTGGTCTAGGATGCAAATAATTGATGACATGTCCTTTAGGGGCATCAATCATACCTTATCTCATAGCTGTAACTGTTGAAAAGTTATGACAGTTCTTTTTACTCATCACATGTCAGAGAAGTATTTTAGCCCACTAGGTGGTGTTGGTGACTGGATGGAAATGCTTCTACATGAAGTTTTCAGCGCTGAATTTGGCTTACAGTAGTTTTTAAATTTTTATTTTTAAGTAGCCCTTATGGGTGTGGGGATAATTATTCCAGCTACCCATCAGAGCCCAAAAATAGCTTTGTGGATTTGTTTGCATGATTACTGCAGGGGATCTCTGTCAGAAAACCCTGCTCCTGACTTCGTTTTCTTAGTCTCCTGGGAGCTGTTAAAATACATATGTGGTCAGCCTTTTTTGCCCATGGAATCGTCAGCGTTCTCTGTTCTCCATAAACTTGCCTCTCTGTTCTGTCCTATCTTGGTGTGGCTCCAATAAAAGAAATGTTCATACTGTACAGTATAGAAATTGGAGAAACAAACTTTGTTCACTACATTTTGAGTTCATACCAAAAAGTGTGCTTTTGTCAGAGAGATGTAAGAGACTGCTCCCCTCCCCATAAATGCTTATAGATGTTTCCTGTAGCTCAGGATGCACTGATATCTTGCAGTGCATATCTTTTTTCTATCTTGTGTCATTTTCATCACCATAAAAGACTGCTGGCTCTGATCTTTAGACCTTTTATATGAGAAGGTCTCTAGTCTTTCAAATATATATCGTAATTTTGTCGGCAGCCATAATATTTCTTTCGTATTATTCTGTACCTACCTTACGTTCCATCTCATTTTCTTGAACTGTGAAATGCTAGGTTAGCAGAGTAGAATGTGAGTGTGTCACCAGCTTGCATGGGTGTTGTAAGGGTGTTTATCAATAAATTCACTTTGTAAATTAAAGGTAAATTTTTGGGCTTGAATTCTGCTGTGTTGCACAAGGACAACCTTCTGTCCTTTTAGGGTTGTTATCTGATATGAGTTGATGATCTGATAAGAGTGAGTATAGGAAAGGTTTTCACAAGGGGCTGAATCCCTGACATAGAACTATACTACATCGCCAATCAAGTACGCCACATAATCCCTTACATTCTAGAGGATGAGACAAAACAATGGGTATACTTGGAAAGAGACATATTTGAAAACACACCCACCACAGCATACCCATTCCTCCCAAACAAACTAAGGAAAATCCCCGCAAAATTAAACTGGTTCATGCAGACCATGCTTAAAGCATGGAAGGAAGAAGTAGGCAAACTGTCCCCAAACCCATCCCCACTAATCCCCCTGGTTCATCACCCACTATTCAGCACAAAACCTCCAGGTAAAAACCTGGCAAGCCAACGGCACAAGAAATGCAAGACAAACTAAGGGACACCCAAATGCCCTGGCTAACACACCACCAATTTCATGCCCTCTTAAACAATCCAGTTGTTAAAGCAGCAGCAACTATATCCTTAACCACCTTTGAAAACCTTCTCCTAACAACAAAGGAACAAGGCAAGGGGATGGTATCCACAGTATATAAAATATTGCTTCAAAGCCCCACAAACTCCCTCAATGCAATCAAAAAGCATGACATAGGCTATGAAATTAATGCCACCCAATGAACTGGAATGTGATCTAATCCTCCCTTTAAATCCATCTCAGCCAAAAGAAGGAAACTCACGCTGAAACTCACATACAGATGGTACTTAACACCACGGAAACTGGTGATACACCGAGGAACTTCACCAAAATGTCGGAGAAGCTCCACCTCCACAGGCACATACCTCCACATGTGGTGGGAATGCCCCAGAATCCAACCCTTCTGAACAACAGTCGTACAAGAGATATGCAAAATAACTAAAAAAGTATTAGAACTCACCCCAGAACTGGCCCTACTGAACAGTTTCCAAGATCATAATGACCACTCACATTACAAAGAGCTTATAACCCACCTACTCTCATCAGCCAGAAGCCTCATAGCCAGACGCTGGAGAGACCTGTCAGGAGTGAACATGGACAACTGGTACCAAGTCATATGGGAAAAAGCCTTACTAGAAAAAACTAACAAAAATTGAGACTGACACGGGGGCAAATAGAAGAGAATGCCTTCACCCCAGTATGGCTCCCCTTTATCACATACACAGCCCAACAAGACCACAACAACCCACCAACAACATATGAATGAATTTGGCTTACTTGACCCAACAAGCCCCTCCCCCTCACAAATGCAAACAAAACCCACTGCAAACAACCGCAGACAACCAATCACACCCTGCCCCCCAATACCTCTCACTATCAAGGAAATGTAACAACCAAATAGAAAGAGAACCTACCCAGTTGACTCTGACACCCCCACTAAGTAGAAGAATATAAGCTTTACCACCATCCCTCTTCTCTTCCTAATCTTATACTGCATACAACACTAATGTCTTACAACAAATGTAACTGATCTGTAGAAAACACAACCTGAAAAGAGACAATGCACTTACTTTTGTAAACTAAGAAAACCTTTAATAAAAATTATTTTTAAAAACAACAACAAGGGGCTGAATCCAATGATGCACGTACAGATTTCCATTTGCACAATGGAACCTGCCTTTCCTCTCCTCTACCTCTGCACCTTCACAATCTGCGGTGGAGGGTCTTCCACTCCTCGAGAGCAGATTTATAGAATTCATTTATTTTTCAAAAACTTAACTAGCAAATGCAATAAAATGCAACAAATGAACAAGTACATTGAAGCACAGGAAAGGTTAATAAATAATGCAGAAATACAATGTAGAAGAAGGCACAATTTGTTTCGTTCAGTAAGTCTCTCTATAGTCCTCTGTGTGTTTGAGGCGGTTTTCTTGTATGGTTGTCATGGCATATATAGGAAAGAGGAGGAGGCCAAGATGCATAAAAAGTCAGTGGATCTGAAGTTGGCTAGTCAGTTTTCTGCTAACACAGCATTCCAAATATGGGCATTCCAAGAGCCAAGGGTTAGCCTTTCAGCAGAACACAATACCTGACAATTTCTAATTGTGCTGCTACCATAAGACAAACTATTTTTCATGACTTACATTCTAATTAAGATTGCCTCTGGAGAAGATTTTGAGGCTGGGGTGAGGCTGAAGGGGAGAGAAGGGAGAAGTTTGACTGTGCAAGAAGAAGTTGGTTATACTAGTAGAACAGCACGTTGGCTTACGACCCATGGCTAGTATTAAATACACAGAATAGTAGGTAAGTAAACTCAATGTTTAAACTGACTCCAGATAGAAGTTTAGATGGACCTCTCATTAATTTGGATCCAAACAACTGCATAAATATTTCTGCATGGCTAAAGGAACTTTTGACAGCATCCAACTAAGTTCTGTTCCAAGTAGAGCGACTGAAATGTGGGCAGAGAGTTGTTACACTCAGTTCCTGCTCATCACCTCCCCAAATGAGGCATCTGGTTTGCCATTGTGAGTTCGGGATGCTGGACTATATAGACCTTTAGCCTGATCCAGCATACTCTCTTATGTTCTTAAAAGTATACCAAGATCGGTATTATTTGGCAACCACTTAAAAGACTCAGCATAGAATCCTAGCACTCCTCCTAGGGAACAGAGTGACTTCAGCTGAAAATTACAAACAAGGACAAAATTACAAACCTTGTAATAGAGGAGGGAGTACTCTTGGACACGCAACTCCATTGGTACAGCTCTTCAGACACAGGAATACATTATTTATAATTATATGGCATGAAGAGTCAAAGGCCTCTAGAGCTTTTGCCTGTTCCTGCAGGGTATTCTAATGTTCTTATTATGGCTACAACCCTTTGTGCTTCTTAAACAGTGACCAAGTGGCATTTGCTTTTCAGAAAACTTTGAATTGAAATTTTTTATACTGGTGTAAATTGATAGAGACCTGATTAAGCATATTTCATTGACATATTTAGCATATATGTTTATATGTTTATATGCACATAGACAGCTCTTACTGTCAGAAAGTTTTCCTGTATGTTTAATCGGAATCTCCTTTCTTGTAACTTGAAGCCATTGGTTCAAGTCCTACTATCTAGAGCAGGAGAAAACCAGATTGTTTCCTCTGCCATGTGACAGCCCTTGAGATATTTGAAAATGGTTTCATATCTCCTCTCAATCTCCTCTTTTCCAGGCTAAACATACCCAGCTCCTTTAAGTACTCCTCATAAGGCTTAATTTCCAGACCCTTGATCCTCTTGCTTGCCCTCCTCTGCACACATTTTAGCTTCTCAACATTCTTCTTAAATTATGGTGCCCAGAATTGGACATAGTATTCCAGGTGTGGTGTGCCCAAGGCAGAATAGAGTGTTACTATGACTTCCCTTAGTCGGGACACTTTACTTCTGTTGATGCAGGCTAGCATAGTATTTTGGGGTTTGTTTGTTTTTTTAAAAAAATAAACATACAACAAAAAACAATTCAAAATCCAAATATCGAGATCACTCTGAATCTTCTGACTTCCCCCCATCCCTTCCATGCGTCCTATTGATAATATTTTCTAACTGCATATTAATACTTCTCCAATTTTTTTGTCTTTCTAAATTATCTATACATTCCGTTACAAGTGTGGTTAAAATCCTGCCAATGTTTTAACCTGCTTACAACGATCTCGTATATAAATTATAAACTTTTCCCATTCTTTTAAAAAGTTCTTGTCTTCTTGATTTCTGAACTTCCCAGTTAATTTTGCCATTTCAGCGTAGTCAAATTTTTTAATTGTTTTTTTATGATTTTATTTTAAAAATGTACTTCTTTAACACTTCTGTGTTTGCTACCCTGGATATCTTTGAGAGGAGGTGGATAGCTCAGTTGGTTAGAGTGTGGTCCTAACAAGGCTAAGGTTGCTGTTTCAAATTAATCGCCATAAGAGACAGCTGCATATTCCTGCATTGCAGAGGGTTGGACTAGATGTGTTGGGAGACATTCTGCACAGAAACATGTGTATACCTTTAAGAAGTTTCTGTAAGCTCTGGGTTAATTGGTTGCAGCTGGCCGTGGCTACAAAAGGGAAAAAGCTGCAGTTTGTACTCTGCCTGCAGGAAAAAACACCCAGAATTTTTGCTGTTTATTGTTTTGTAATAAAGTCTTCGTTTTAGTTTGGTTTTACACCTGTCTCATGGTGTCACAGTCTGTTCTCTGCCACCAGTTGAAAATCCCCCTCCAATAAGATGATCCTCAGGTTCCCTTCCAACTCTATCATTTTATGAGGTAAAGCTTCTATGATAGAAAGGTTGAAAATAAGTCAAATCTATAAATAAATAAATAGGTTGTTTGGATCCAGATCTTTTTCAGGCTCCTTTTTTCCTTCAGTATTTCCACTTGTGCACAGAGTAAAAATCCTGAAAACTGTATTGAAAGGCGATCAAGACAATCAACTATTCCACTATGAAAACACCTTCAGATGTTACAGCATTGCAATTTGGGAATTACTGTTCCTCCTTTATCTCCTAAAAAAGGTAAAGGTAAAGGACCCCTGACAGTTAAGTCCAGTCGCGAACGACTCTGGGGTTGCGATGCTCATCTCGCTTTACTGGCCGAGGGAGCCGACGTTTGTCCGCAGACAGCTTCAGGGTCATGTGGCTAGCATGACTAAGCCGCTTCTGGCAAAACTAGAGCAGCGCGTGGAAATACTTTTTACCTTCCTGCCAGAGTGGTACCTATTTATCTACTTGCACTTTTGACATGCTTTCGAACTGCTAGGGTGGCAGGAACTGGGACCGAGCAATGGGCGCTCACCCCGTTGCGGGGATTTGACCCGCCAACCTTCCAATCGGCAAGCCCAAGAGGCTCAGTGGTTTAGACCACAGTGCCACCCATGACCTTTCATCTCCTTAGATGGTAGCTATAATCTGCAAATTCTTAACACAATTCTGACTTGTGCACAGATCTATGAAATAGCATGTTTGTTTTATAAATTTAGATTTCATGGATCTGTCCAGGAATCTGACTATTTCCCCCTGGTTTGCAATTGTTTTTTATATCCTTGAATGCAGATACCAAAATGACCTACACAGCTGCATTTTGTGAACTTAATCACTAGATTGTGTGGGTTTGGAAAGGGTGCAAGTTGGAGCTTTCTTAAAACGAAGAGATAAAATACAGTGGTACCTCTGATTGCGAATGGGATCCGTTCTGGAGGCCCGTTCGCAACATAAAAAGCCTGCAACCTGAAGCGCTGTATCTGCGCAGGTGCGCGGCGTGATTTGGTGCTTGTGCGCATGTGCGAAGTGCGATTGGCGAAACCTGGAGGTAACCCTTTCCGGTACTTTTGGGTCGCCGTGGGATGCAACTTGAAAAAACGTAACATAAAGCCAACATAACATGAGGTATGTCTGTAGCTGGTAAGATCTGAATTTTCATAATTTCTTCTTTCTGCATATCATTTTTGTGTCATATCTGCTATGTTGTAAGCAACTACAGTGGTACCTCGGGTTACATATGCTTCAGGTTACAGCCTCCGCTAACCCAGAAATAGTACCTCGGGTTAAGAACTTTGCTTCAGGATGAGAACAGAAATCATGCTCTGGTGGCGTGGCGGCAGCGAAAGGCCCCATTAGCTAAAGTGGAGCTTCAGGTTAAGAACAGTTTCAGGTTAAGAACGGACCTCCGGAACGAATTAAGTACTTAATCCAAGGTACCACTGTACTGCCATATATAAATCTTAGTTAAAATAGGTACCACTGTACATTAAACAGAGATCTGCCTTGAGTGCTGTGGCGGAAGGGCAGTAAATAAAAATGTACACGAAAAACTGCAAATGTGTGTTTGATACAGGCCCTGTTGTGCTCTGAAGCAAACTTGGCTTCTTCAGTGCAGAAGCTGGTTCACAACCAGTGCTATTTTTCTAGAAAAAGAGGTGCCGGAACTCACCATGAATGTCTTCCTTGTTCACTTACAATGGCAATAGTGCCCACCTGATAGATAGTTCGAGCAAGTTCCAGCTGAAAAGAAAGCCCTGTTCCCAACTATTGTTTTTGCTAGTGCATCTCTCAAAGGACACAGATTTTGTTACTTGGGTATAAAAAAGCTCAGAATTTGTGCCCCAAATAGTACCATTAACATAATTGTTTCCTTTGGATATGACCAAAATAGTCTTATCAAGTAGAGTAGCAAGCTTCCAGACTGAAGAGCACTTACCTCCCGCAGAACAGAACAAATCCTGCTGAGCAAAACTACTGAAGGGAAATTGTGATGGAAGCAAGACACAGTCTGAGAACTCCCTGTGGTGGGAATTGAGTTAATGTCTCCCGAGTCAAAGGATGAGGTGCTCTCACTTTTGAGGGAACCTGCCAACATGCAGGAGCCATTCTGTCAGCATGCATGCCTTTGGTCTTTCCAACAGTGTCACAAGTGTCGGGCACTGAGCTATGTCTACTTACATTCACACTGAGGGGAATAAAGGAAATAAGGAACAGATCCTGATTCTGGTTTGAATCATTTTGTTGGAAATAAGGGTCGGACTCAAACTGGTTGGTTGGCAATGGTGGTCTGCTTCTTCTTTGTAGACTACCATCTTCTTTGTAGACTACCATTTTTTACCATTAGCATGTCTAATTTGCACAATCAAGACACAAACTACTTTCTTAAAAGCATCAGTGAAATAGATTTCTATTCTCATTTACAGACAGGAAGGAAAGGAATTCTGTAGAGCAATCAGTAGGAGCATTCTGTGCAGCAGTGGGCTCACCTGATCTCCTTTTGGTTGTGTCACTGCTGCTTACCTTGAGTGAGGCAAAATTGAGGTCAATGCTCTGCCATTGCAGAGGTGGGAGTTTTGGATTTGCTTCTGCTGGTGCATTTGTACTGCACCACACTTGCTGCTACCTCTGTCCTTCCCCTCTGCCTCCTTGTAGGCAGCAGTGATGTGAACAGAGGTTAGGTGAGAGTCCCCATGCAATCATGCTGTCCACTACTATTTCTGGGGATGTAGATAAAGGTAGAATATAAGCTTTGCAGAGAGGCAGTTGCAGACTGAAGCCCTGACATCTCTAGGAAGGGGTGCAAAAGGCTCTTAGCTGAAATTGTAAGAGAGCTGCTACCAGTTGGTACTGTATATAGCCTAGGCATAGGGAGCCTTCCCTTCCTCACCTATTGGCCATGGTGACTGGGAGTTGGAATCTAACAATATCTGGACAGCCAAAGTTTCCCCACTGCTAGTGTAGACAATACCAATGGTCTGATTCACTATAAGACAGCTTCTGCATTGGGGGGGGGGGCAATTCTCTTGAAGGTTCATGCAATCAGAACATGGTCTGAGGAAACTTGGTTAGTGCAGTGGACAGGCATTTTTAGTATAGTGTGCCACCATTAGCAAAACTCCACTTGGCCACTAAGACATAAGTGAGGCCAGTGCTTTTTTTTCTGGGGTGATGCAGGGGTACGCATACCCCTAAACATTTTGTCAATCTTTGTGGTTTTGTCCATTTCCTGTATTTATTACCCCCGATTTGAACTATAAAATGGTGATTTTCCCCCCCTAAACATTTTTTAAAGAAAAAAAAAAGCACTGAGTGAGGCATTTCTTCTGTTGAAGGGAAATTATGTTTTCAGTATCCAAACTGCAACATTTAGCTAGCATATCTGTTGCAATTGTGGCTGTGTGACATTTAATTGCACTAGTGTCACAAGGCCTAGTGCAAGGTCTATTAATGATGCAATTACCTCACTCCCCCCAACATTTGTGTACCTTTCCTTGGGAACTTAAAAAGCTTATGTGGCTATTCTTCCCCACCCCCCAAGCAGTTCCTACTATTTCATAAATGCTAGCCTCTTGCCTTTTAAAATTAATGATCTTTGTTTGCTTTTCCTCTCCGCCTCTGTAATGTGCATCTCCATCTTTCACCCCACCCCCACTGCCAAATGGTGAATGGAGGTAGGTTATTCACACCTTGTTAATCTGACCTTTAATCCTTTCATTTATGTCAGGGCCTGGAAATTGTGGTACTGGAAAAGTGTGGTTCATAGTTTTTTTGTGGTGATGGTGGTGATGATGATATCAATCAGTCATTTCACTTGTATCATTTTATTTGCTCTGGACACTATACTTCTGTTGATGCAGCCTAAAATAGCATTAGGTGTTTTTTTGCTGCTATATCACACCAGTGACTCATGTTAAGATTCTTAATCTCAGGGTTGGGGGTTTGAACACCACATTGGGCAAAATATTCCTGCATTGCCGGGGGTTTGACTAGATGCAGTTCTAGGATTCTGTCATGAAAAAAATGTTTAAAATGACATTTGTAAAAAGAAAAACAAACAGAAGCATTTCTGTTAGGGATTCTAGGACAAGACCCTCCAAGAAAACTAAATAACTTATTTATGTATGCTACAACAGCGGCAAGAGTTTTGATAGCACAAGGATGGAAGAATGAGGAAATCCCAATGAAAGAACAGTGGCAAGAAAAATGGATGAGTTATGCAGAACTGGCTAAATTGACAAACAAACTGTGGGACAAGGACAACTGTGACTTTAAGGAAGAATGGGAGCTTTTTACAAATTATCTAAAAAGACAACAAAATGAACAAAATGAACTGGACTCCTTGGCAGGGTTTGAATAAACATACACAAATTTATTGGTTGATAACATGATAGATAGTTAATGTAAGGATATGTACAATTTTATAACATGCAGAGAATAACATGTGCTGATAAATCAGAGAGAGGAGCTGAGGGAAGTCTTTGTGGAGGGAGGGTTTGAAGGGGGAAGGGGGAAAAAGTGAATATGATATGTTGAAATTATTAATAAAAATATTTTAAAATAAAATAAAGTAGTCATGAATAATAAACAAAACATTAAAAAGTGCACAACCAAATTAAACGATTTCCCCACAAATCATAAGATCCAAAGTAAAGATACAAAAAATTAACAA